GGTCACCGGGTCAATTGCTGAACCAAATAATTAATTTTAAAATTTATAAAAATATTTTGTGATATATAAATATACATAAAATAACAAATTTAAATATTTTGTATGTAAAATTTGTAGATTAAAATAGTAATAATATGTATATATTTACCATATAAATATATATACATAATTTTATTTTTTAAAAAGAAAAAGAAAATTAAAAAACAAAAAAAAATACATATAGGGACCGGGTCAACCAGGTTGACCCAGCCGGGTCAATGCCCTGGATCGACCAAGTCAAGGCCAGGTCGGCCGGGTTTTGACCGGGTCCGTTGTTGCCCGGTCCAATTAGCCCACCCGAATCGGTTCCGACTCCGGGTCGGCCGGGTCCCGGGTCGACCCGCCGGGCCGGTCGGAGTCAAAAAACACTGCTTCATATACATAATACGTCAATTACTTATAATATTTTCATATAAAAATTCGACAACTTCAATTTCATGTATTTGTGTAACTGCATTTAACTAAATTACATGTAAATCTTCATAGTGTAAGTGACATCTCATATAATCAACGTGTTAGGTTGACCGGTCAAAATTGTTCGCCTGCCTCATAGTAGTATTTACAATCAATTATATTAAATTTTTTAATTAGAACTCAAGTAGACAAGATGAAATTATTATTTTGTATTTTTTAAAGGAAAAAATAGCAAATCAATTAAAGAAAACATGTAAGAGTTTACGTTTTATGAAGACTAGAAAGTATAACAGTTAATAATTTGAATGTATAAAAAAATAGCACATTTTAATTAATTTATTTATCATTCCTTTCACTATATACTTCTTGTATTTACATTAAGTACTTAATAAAATGTATTTTCGCATAGGCTTTTTTATTCATACTATTAGTGGTGTTGTTCAAGCTAATTGAGATAAATATGATGTGATCAAACTCATACTTGTTTAAAATGAGTATGTTTGACTCGACTCATTTAATAAACTTCCGGCTACGGGCAGTTTAATTTTGATCCATTAACTTGTCTAAAGTTATTTTTTGGGATACTTACTTTCCCTTCATTAATAATAATTCGTTATATTGTAATTTGTATCATTTTTTAGACAATACTCGTCAAAACAGTACGTATGTTGCAATTTGTATCATTTTTAGGACATTAATCCTAAAAAATAATGAATTATTTTTGCGATAATGTCTCAATAGTGATACAAATTGCAGCATAACATACTATTAGTGATGATGGAAAACTAGTACACCAAAAAAAAAATTAAAAAAGTAAACGAACCAAAATTAATTTTTTTTTTTCGTCCAGCTACTCCAGTGGCCGACCACCTGTGACAAAAATAACACCACAAAGTAACAGTTTTGCAAACAGGTATAAGAAAACAGATTTGCTAAAAAGATAACACACAAAATCATACAATAAGAAAAATCTGTGAAATTCACATTCAAGAGCATCATCAACTCTGACACACACAAATACAAACGCACTTGGTGAAAATTCCAAGCGAACGAGTTCAATCCACTTACAGGGAGGCCAAAGATGACTACCTTTTTATCCTGGCAGCCGAGCCGCCGTGTTCCGTGCATACTCGTGCGACTGGTCGTGATCTCGCGG